TGTAGAACTAAGTAAGTCAACTGCAGTAAAGCACATGTGTACACCTAGGCAACTGGTAGAGGGAGCACGGGGGGGGGGGGCATGTGCTCCCCCGACAGGGCCGTCCCCACTGCCAACACCGCCAGCAGCTTCTGCGGGTACTCGCCAGCCCCGTCCCCACCGCTGCCGCTGCTAGCAGCTTCCATGGGTGCTCGCCAGCCCTGTCCCTGGTGCCGCTGCCAGCTTCTGCAGGTGCTCGCCAGCCGGTCCCCACTACCACTGCCGCCACCAGCTTCTGCAGGTGACCCACCAAACTCTGGAGGCACAAGTCGCCCATGTGTGTAGATGCACCCAGTGTCTCCTGGAAGTTCTGTAGTACCTGCTGGTACTAGCAACAGACTTGACAGCATCTGTGCTGGTTAACAGATTATTTTATACCCTTCAGGAACGGAAGTCAAAGCCATTACTGCAACAGTATGAATTGGCTCTGGAAACAGGTAGGCTGCAAACAGGAAGGAGTTTTCTATCAGAGGGATAAGGTTTTGAAAAAAATATTCCCAAGGGGAGTGATGGAAGGAGATATTCTACTGGTTTTAAGACAGAACATGGTAAATTTGTGAATGCGTTTATATGTTTTCTTGCTTTTAGCTGTAGGCCTTGTCTATTCAGCACCCAACTTAAAAACTCTTCCTCTAGACCCGTGATTCTCAAACAGGGTGTTACAGCACCCTGGGGTGCTTTGAAATCCTTTCAAAGGTGCTGCAGGATGCCATGCAATGTTAGCACTGTTTGGTGTGCAGACATGATTCACAAGATGAAACCAGAAATTTCAAGTAGAAATACGTAGTATTAAAAACATTCTGATCTATAGTGGTCTCTGAGTTCTTTGTAATAGAAATGCTCTATTATTTCGTCTGTAGTCAGGAAACCAGTGAAAAATAAGCTGGCATTTCAGAGGGGTCATTTGAGTTTAACAAAGGGCACCTTATTGAGAACCACTGCTCTAGCGCCATGTCACCAGTGCTTCTGTGGCTGCATCTGGCTTTTCCTTCATCTGTTTCTGTGCTGTTGCTTTTGTGTCTCTCCTTTCTGGTATATACTGGTATTCAACACAATTACTCAGCAAAACATCAACCCATATAGTTCCAGTTCCTGAGTAGTCTCATCTATGGGGGTTTTTTTGGGTGGGGGCCTTGCCCCTATCTTTTGTTGAAAGCCCCCAATCATTTTGGCTACCTGCTTTCATGAGCTCAGTGATTGACCACAAGTATCTTACGTGAAAAGTGGCAGTTACACTTACCTTTTTTAGCAAGGTTTAACTCAACTCACAATGATATATCCATGCAAGACATTCACATCTCCAGTTACATTTCTCAATAATTCATCATTTGTTCAGTCGTCTGAAACTTAACTTTATGTAGGCACAGGAATGAAAAAGATATGCTCTTTTTCTTAACACTTTACCCTTACAAATACCACTCATCAACCCCTATCAAAGATAGATAAGGATTACGTTCCTGCTCTTTACATTTGACAATTAGTAATGTTCACTGATAATTAAGATTAATCCTCCTTGTTAAGAATTCCAATGAGATAACCTGGTGCAAGCCAGTTTAATGTTCATGGCACAGTGATTATATCATTTACCCAAGATAGTTCATTTCTTCATATCCACTGACCTTTGTGATGCAGGATACGACTCATTCCTTCTCACACTTCAATTCAGAATCTGACTCCTACCTGCAGTATAAGACATCATTTAGGGAATGAACAAGGTTCTATCAAAGTTTCCTAACAATTAAATTAGGATTTGTTTTTGGTTATTTTGTGGAAACGTACCATAAGAACAATAATAGTTCTGATGTGTGAAGCTTTTAAATCAAAAGCAGAACTGCTCTTCCCAAAATGCTGATTTAATCTGGTTGCTCATCTTGTCCTTTTCCCAGATAGTGAAAGCCACTAAAGAAGATTCTTGAGTCTGCTCTGAATATCCCACCTTAGGTGACAAGCCAAATGATCCAAGTCCTAAATTCCTGTGTGATGCATGAAAAATAAATAAAATGCTTTATGATATACTTTTCTTTTCCTCCACTTGCTTTACTATACTCTTCCTTAGAGTTGAAGAGGCCTTTCTTTACTCCTGGTCTCCACTGAGTATCTTAGATTATGAGTGTGTGTGTGGCAGGAACATACAATAACATACATCCTCAGTTCCATGTTGCTTCATTCAGGAATGAACTTAATAAACTATATTTGCCTATAATATTGGTGAAGAAATGGTAGTTGGAGTTTATTTTTTTCCTCCTCTTTTGTGGGAATTGAGGAATAAGAGGTTGCAAAATCCCTGGTAGGTCATCTGACATTTTTGAAGTTTCAGTTAATGCTTTATGTGACCTAATTTATAGAATGCTTAGTTACACATTTTTGAGGACATGACTTCCTTGTTTCCTAGAGACTCCTCCTGTCAGGAAAGTGAGCAGGATTTGTCCTACAGACAAACTGTGCTAATGGTAGCAGAATTGGATTGAGCTTTGATAGTACATCTCACTAATGGCTTCAGCAGAGGACTGGCCTCTGTATGTCGTGCTCAGTGCTCTCTCCAGATAGATGGAAGGCAAACCACAATAAGTGACTTGTGGGGTGAAATATATATAGGTGAAATAAATATCAATGCCTGGATGACTAATCTGCATCTGATCTCCAGTCTGTCCCATGTCCTGAGAATTGTTCCTTGCACTTTCATTTCTAGTGCTTTTTAAAGCATTGATTATGGGAGAACTGAAACTGATTTCCATTGCTGATTTTTCATCATTAGAATTTGGTATTTTACAATAACTGTATTAACATTTCATTTAAGGCACGATAGCCTGCACTTGTGCTCTAATGGAAAATATGATATGTGTAAATTAAATGGTGATACCAGCAGTGTAAACTCCCTAAATCATAGTAAAACCTTAATATTATCTCAGAGATTCTGGATTTACAGTGCATTTTTATCCTCTCTGCTCTGTCTTTTAGATTGCATGCTTTCTGTCACTGTGGCTGTCTTCTTTTTATTTCTGGTCCACAGAATATAGTTAGTGCTTAACAAATACTGCATGATAATAACAACATAAACTTGCAAAAGCAAGCACTTAGATGGAAGAAAACACTGAAGCTTATAGAAAAATACAGCAAAGACTGATCAAATCATGTATTTTCTTTTCAGAAAGGACATCTTGTCTTGTGATTGTGACACTTGGTTTCTTCAGCAGGGTAGCAGTTAATCCTATTTCAGTTGTACTGTGTAATCATAACATGGGGAATTTATGAACTTTATCTGTTGCACGGATCACATTTCTTCTGGCTAGGAGGTATGTTTTGACAAGCCTTAGCCAAGATTCTCCGCCTTCTTTTTTTATCATTACTGACCCAAACATTTCTGATGACAAAACAGCAATGTTAGTGGCAAACGGATAAAAGACCACTTGAAATATTTTAGAAGCTTCATTCATAACCTAATGCAACATGTGACCCTGCAATTGAGGTAATGCTTTTGTTTCAGCCAGTTAAATTACAGAGCTTACAGTATGCTATGTAGCTTTACCCCAACTAGCTTATAGTTGCAAAAACTGGCAGGGTACAAAAAATCATTTTTCAAACATCAGCTTGGTTTTAGATTTATAATGCCAAGCTTAAAACACCGTATTCCATCTACCTGTACTAATTATTTCCATAGAAATATATTTAAGAACTGTACAAGATAAGAAAACTTCACAGAAACAAATTTGTCATAGATAGTTGTTATAGTGATTGATGCTCTTTAGATCAATATCATAAAGAAGGCCAAAATCTGCTCCCAGTTGCAACTCAAATATGGTGTTGATAGTTTATACTCAGATTAAATTTTGTGAGTTTTATGGTAATTTTTTCAGGACATATAGCCTAAAATATTTGGTATTATAACAATTCTTATTGGTATTTGGTAGTATTATTTGGTATTATACCAACACAGGGGTTAACACCGGTTAACCTGTGGCATGCATCCCACAAGTGACACGCAGCAGATCAGGGAGGGAACAGAAACACAGCAGCAGATAGGGCAGAAAGCAGAGTAGTGAATCAGGCAGGGAGCACAGGGCAGAAAGCAGCAACAGATTGGGCAGAGAAAGGAGATTGGAGCGGTTCTCAGGGGCAGGAAAGGACTTATCTTGTGATATGCATGCCAAAAGAGTTTGTCCCCACTGTATTAAAGTATGTTTGCATTCAGACTTATTACTTGAGATATGCAAATGTCTTTTTTCTTATTCAATCAGTATCCTGTCATCGCAGATATATCCGTTAAAGGTTGATTTGTAATGGAATATACTGGGACTGACTACTGAACAAGTTCTGGCAATTAAACAATAACTGAAATATGCAAAGAACAGGTGTCATGTGGCACAGTACGGTTCTTCACAGAAAGCAGTTGTTCCGTGAATCTCCTCTGAATCAAAATATGCAGGGACAAATACAAAAATAATATTGATACTATATTTAGGAAAAGCATTTTGAGTAATGCAGCTTGCAGTATCAGAATGACTTATCTGGCCCTTTGTGATTTATGGCCCTTCCTTCATCAGAGAGCGCTAAAATATTCCCATCTGATTTTTATTTTCATGTAGGATTCTATTCTAAACAAAAGTTGTAAGAATTAAATTGAATGCAAACAAAAGATTTAAGTGTCAGTCTGTTTTTAATTGACTACCCACAGATATTTATCGCATAATACAAAGCAAAAAATAAGAATACATAGCAGCAATCTAGGTCTTCTAGCATAAACTACCTAAATACAAACACTTTAAAAAAATGACAGTTCACACATTTTTACATGTAGGTGTGGGTTGGAGGGCCTGATGCAAAGGAAAAAAACTGAGGTTATGTTACATTATTGTGATTTTTCAAAATTCACTTTAACAGTAGCATGCTGACTTTTTGACTACCTGTCAGTAAGGGAATACAAAAAAAAATCATGTTTACATTTTTAAGTGATCTTGCTTGCATGTCCCCTGTTGTCATGCCAATATCAGTTTAAAGAAATCATTGCTATATTATCTCTTCCCATCACCAGAAATGTAGAATATAGGTGTTGCTTTTAAAGACCTTAACACTTAGAAATATTGTTTTTCTCATAAATATGTAGACACATCTGTAAACAAACAGTCTTTGGAAAAAAGTAGATGGAAAAAATTGTAATGAGGTATGTTCTAAATGTCCACTCAAATTTACACAGTACTATACAGAAGAAATATTATTAATTATTCAGCTTGATTAGACTGCACTGTCTGCCAGTTTCATTTCCTGTGCCTTGTGGAATAAAATAAATAAAAATTACGTGACTGTTCCAAATGTGGGTATTTCCCAACTGTTCCAGAACAAAGTATTTTGATTGCATAAACCTGTTAATTGCAGGAAAAACTCGGCAAAAACTATCTGCATTTCAAAAGGATGGGCCAATTAACTCTACTTTATTGTTCTATTGATTTGTAGGGCTTTCAGTTGAATGTAACAGACGGATAAGGAGATTGGAGAGAAGTCACTTAAGCTGTTAAGCAAAGAAAAAGTCCATTGAAGACAAAGGGAAGACTCCTATCGACTTTAATGAACTTTAGAGAAGGTCTTTAGGGAGTATGCAGAAATACCCCAATACTGAATTTGAATGATTCACACTCTGTTCTTTAATTATTTCTGTATAGGAGATAATCTGATTTTTCAGTTTATGTTCTATCCTCTATGTAATGTAAAAACGTTAACAGGCTGTGAGCAGAATATGGTATTGTCCATAGATATGATAGCACAGATATATGATAAAACTTTCTCTCACATAAAATTTCCCTATATGTGGAATCAGTAGTAGAACTGAAGAATTCATGTGAGTGGCAGTGTCTAACTATCCTCATCCAGGGAAGTGAATTTGATACTTACTATTCAGACAATACAGTGCATTTGTGTAAAAAAACCTACTGTTCAGAGGTATTTTTATGAGGCAGGAAGAAAGCTTGGTCTACACTAGAAGCTCTTACTCATGTAGGAATGTTTCTAGGTGTGATTTATTTGAATTTAATATTTAATTTAAATTTAACTCTTTATTACTGGCAAAACCTTAGTATAAACGCAGTTATATCAGCAGAGGTGCTTTTGCTGGTATAGCTTATTTTGTTTGGGGAACTGGTCAAACTGCAGATACCCTAGGAAGGTTTGCCAAGTTATTCCGCTTAACCCTTTCAAGTGCAGACAAAGCCTTAAAGTCGCCACTGTCAGGTCTGTTAAGGGTAACAACAAGGAATTTGCCTCCTTTTCAGTTTGCGTTATGGAAGGCAGCCTCATATTCAGACATAGCCTTTTTTTAAAATGAAAGGTTCATTTTGGATTGGAAAGTAAAACTATCTGAAATAAAAATGTTCAAATGTTATTAAAATATGTTATTTTCTCCAATAATGAGCAATATTTGAACTTCAGAGAGATACACAGAAGTAATTCACAACAAATACACATAATATCAGTAGGGGCAGTTGAATCATTTGATGCCATCATGTTTCTGAAGTGCAGTTAGGTGATCACACGTGACACTTTGGGCAGTTATAACAGACACCCGGATGTCTTAATTATGTTCTGAGCACATATGTGTTAAATGTCTTTAACCTCTTAAGTATTGTTGTCCAGGTTAATAACAATCCTTGACATGTTATTACTTTTATATTTTGTTACAGTTTTAAAACCACAGGTTGAGGACTCCAGACCTCTACCGTTATATCATGTACCTGCATTCTCTGAAATGTTGTCAGCCACTCTTCTTTGAAGGTCCGCATACAACTCTGTGTGAAAGAGTCTTTTTATTGCCCTCAAAGAGAGCTGAGTGTTTTTCTAAAGATGCAAATCACTTTCTGATGTGGTATTTACCATCTATTGGTCTGATACTTGTTTTTAAACTTGGTACAAGGTTGTCGATAACGCACATATCTTATTAAACCAATTAGAACATTGTGTTTTTGTCTGAAAAATTTGTTACTATGGTTTCAAGTAACATATAAAAGCACTGTGACTGAAAGAAGTTAATGATACATTTTTGGGTCTTTTGTTTTTTTTTTTTACTGTATGCATCCAATTGGTATTTTTTGTATTGCCAATTTCATCTTTTCACCTGTATTTCACCTATGCTGAAAAGACTTATAGACAGCAGTTGGGGAGCAGAGACTGCTCCCATTTTTAAAAATTTTTTTTTTTAATCCAGTATACTGTTTAAAGAATGCTATTTTAGAAAGTGCAAATTTTGGGAAAAAATATTTTTTAAAAGTATTCAAGTTGACATTCTCCACTTTAAATAATAGCGTTTCCTGCATGTTTAAATGAAACTGTTGAGGTGTTCATTGGAATTACTCTAAAAAACACTTGTACTTCAGTTTCCAAGCCCATTCATTCTGTGGTTGCTCTGTTAAGACTAAGATCAATGGTGACATGTTTTTCTTAAGAAAGTTCACCTACTATTGCTGCTGTCCATTATCACAAAATGTTTTATGTCTTAAGGTCCCGAGACTGAAGATAAATCTGTGTTCTTTTCCCAGTAGGATTTAGTTCAGAACAGTGTTATTCCAGAGATGGGGGCATTGTGGACATCTTTGTTAAAACATGTAGCTACTATAGGCACAAAAGAGGTTTTGGGGGTTGTTTTTTCAAACACTTCTTAAATACACTATCATATTGTTCACTATATGACTTTAAAACTCTCTCCCAGCATCCAATATCATACAGTTTATTGCATTCTTTTGCAGAAAGCAAAGCACGTGACTTCCATCAAAATGCAGAAAAAAAGTTTCTCAAAATGAGAAGGAAAGTCTAGGCTTGTGAATTCCCAATGGGAGTTTCCCATCTTCTGTACTAGAGCAGGAGCTGTAACTGTTCATTTTAAGCCCAAGTCAAAGTCCCTTGATTCAATGGGAGTTTTTCTATTGACTTCTGTAGGTTTTGGAGCATTCCGTTTGTGAGAGCACATGAGAGACAGGTCACATGTCTTTTGGAAGAGATTTACACTTACATGTTCTAAAAGTTCTGACTGCTTGTCTTGAAAGAGGGTGACTGCCAATATTTTGGGAGTGTAACATTTTTAGTAAAATGTTCCTTTTATCTTAGAGTAAAAACTAAACTCCAAAAAATTGAAGTGCTGCTTTCTTCTGCATGTAACATAAAAATCCAATCCCCACAGCCAGCAGCTGGCTAAGAATAAGAGGCCTTGTGATTCATGAGTGCTTGTTTTTTTGCTTATTTTTAATGTACCCCGAAAATGAAAATATGTGGTCTTCTGTGTCAGTGGTTAACGATATTAATATAATACTCTCTTTCCATGCATAGGTCTGCTCAGTAAATAAAACCATGACTTAAGAGTCATGTGTCCCATTGAAATTCCTCCACCTGCAATATGGGACAAACATGCAGAAAATGAGAAGAAAAGAAAATCGGCAAGAATAATGTTAGCCAGCATACTTTGTACTCCTTTGTAGCATTAAAAAACAAGGTCCTGTCTGCTATGCCGCTGTTAAATGTAGAAAAGACTAAAAATCAAAACTCTGCACTTTACAGAAAGCAGATTCCTAGGTTTAGAAAATCTTGCTTTGCCAGTATTGCCCTCTTGTGGGATTTCACAGCAAAGTAAAAGAGCATTACTTTCAAGTGGTCATGAACAGCTTGACTGTTAGGGCCCTGTACAAAGATCTGTCTGGGGCTCCAGTTACAAAATCTCTCTTCACTGTTGAAATCAGCAGATAATTCTTCAACTGCACAACTCCATAAGGGGAGTTTGTGCCTTGTGCACATATGAGACTGTTTGCATAGGCTGGCCCTGGATGGAGACAGGGGCTTGCAAATGACACTGCTAGGCTTTTATGCTTGTTCAAATTCTTCTCTGCTCAAAAATCCTCATGTTTTTTAAAGTCTTAATATCATATCATCATCCTTTGATAGCTGACTGCCTGAACCCGGATACAATTCCCTGCCTTTGTATTTGCAACAGTCTCAACCTGAGCTTGCTCTAGTCACTCTTTCCACTCTTTACCTTCACCTTCAACCAGGAAGAGAATGTGGGACAATTTCAAATATTTAGCAGCTTGTCTCTGCAGTAGGAGGTATAAATAGTAAATGATTGTCCAGTGTCATGAAAGTTCTGTAAAGAGAAGATATGAAAATCTTTCCTGTCCATAAGGCACCTTCTTAAGAACAGATCTTTTTATGCCTTGGTATGGAAGGTGCTTATAAAAAAGGCTGGCATCCAAAATACAGCAGCCTTCTTTCAGAGTTAGTCTTCATCAGAGTGTCTTATGAAGAGGAACAGGACAAATTAAACATCATGGCATTTCATCATTAGGTAAGTTTCACTAGGACTTAGCCCGTGAGATGACCACCAAGAAATCTTGGTGCCCCGACTTCACGGATCTTGGAATTTTGGGAGCAAGAAGGCCAAAGACTGGTGGATCCTCAGTATTGACTGGATGAAACATACACTGTATTTGAAAAGGTGGAAAACTCACTCTTCTCATATCCTATGTTTGTTAACACCTAGAGCAATGGCCATTGTAATATCTATAAGGAGGAAACTGATGTGCAATTGAAAGCAAAAAATTACAGTGCTGGCCAGCAGCAAGTTAAAGAAGGGATTTATAATTAAAAAAAAATATATCTCTTTGTTTGGGCTGGTGGCTGTGATGGACTATGAGGTGTTGTTTTACTTTCTCAGAGGAAATATTGTATATATTTGCACTACTTATATCTCTCCACAGACCATCACTGAAACAAGGTTGGAGCCTGTCCTGGAAAGTGCTATTATTGGATTATTCTTTTTGTTATATATATATATCTTTTTTTTTCAAAAGCTTCAAAGGAATTTGCATCTATGAGACATGGGACAGGCTCCTTGATCTTACAGGGTTCAGAATGAGATGGTGACGAGATCTTATACCAGGAAGGGCATTTACAGTGGGTGACTGTCCAGCTGTGTCATTCTTTCCTTTCATTTATTCCTCATTACTTCAATTCATGACATACTAGGAGGGAAGAGAGAGAGAGGATTATTTTTAGTAAACAAATTAGAATAAATCTGATGCCTTAAAATCCATAGCTAAGAATCTAACAAAATGGGTATGCACGAGTTGAGTGCTTTACAACATTCTGCAAGCTAAAAACACATAGATCCATGTCCAGGCACCAATATTTGGTCAAAGCTTTGGTTTACTTTAATCTGAATTTTATCCCAATAAGGATTGCAAGTTGAATATTGCTAATTTGTACTCACTTGATCACTCCTTATTCTTGCAGGTGGTTCCACTGATGATAATGCTTTAGTTACTTGACTAAGGGCTGCATACTCTTACTGACTGACACTTTCTTTGGAGAGTAAACATCTCCTCAGTTTACCACTCTTCAGATCTCACATACATACTTTTATTCTGTATAAGATAACTTATCAAAGTCCAGTTTCTCCATCCAGTAGTTCAGGGACTTGTTAATTCTAAAGCCAGCCTTTCCTCACTGACCCCTCACTTCTCTGCTATTTAAACTCCATCAAGAATACTTGTTTCTATGCTTCAGAAATAGAAAACACAAAAAATGGAAGCAAAAATCCCCTGCTATTTGGTAAACCTGCTGAAGATCAGTACACTTGTGGGTTAATCCCTAGAGAAGAAGTCTGCTAAATCAACTAGAGCCAGACTGGACCCAAGATCTTTTGTTTCACAGGGAGTGTATGACAATTAATGAGAACAAAAAATTTGGAAGGGCTATTAAACCCCATGTGTTAGAGCCGGTTTCTAACTAGAAGATCTCATTCTGATCTCTGTGTGAGGAGATTGTTCCCCATCTGCCAGGTGTAGGGTTCTTAAGCCTTCCTTTGAAACATCTGGTGCTTGCTACTGGATCCTGAACAAAGATGCTTCATACATCTGATCCAGTCTAGTGATTCACTCAACTAGCATAGTTACAAATGCGACTGTATGAGGGTAGTGACAATAGAAACAGGTATTCATCCAACCTGGTTTCCTGATCCTCTGTGGGAGGCACAGGCCTGCTAGGGAGACAGACATTAATATGAATAAGCATATCTTCACCATAAACCATTCATCCTCTACTTATATCCATTGAACTTGATGTAATTCTTTGGAGCAACACAGGCAGATCAAGTAGAATCTCATGCATTTGATCAATGTTCCTCTTACTCTGGGGAAGAATAGCAAAGCATCCACCATTTCCTCTCAGCAATAAAAGGAGAGACTAGAAGGGAGAGATTGTGTTCAACAGCATCAGAGCCTCTAACTTTTTTAAGGAAAATTGCACTCATTGTTTCCCATAATGGCAAGACCTCATGCCTGGAGTACATCTTGGCATTTCCTATAGCTTTGCATTCATACGTGATGATGTAAGAACACATTTGGCTTCTATTTATACCAGGAGATCAAAGGAATTGCCCAGATACACCAGACAGCAAAACTGAGTCTTCTGCAATATGCTGATGCAATATCAGGATGCAAACATTGCAGCACAATATCAGGAGAACTGTCTGTTGGTGACTTTGGGGTTTTCTGGCTCCATTCCCTGATCAAATTTTTTTTTTCCATAGCCTTAGAAAGTTGAAGAGCTTTGCCATGAATTCATTTTGACAGATAAAACTAAAAACAGAATAAGATCAAGCTGATCAATATATTCTAAATTCAGTCTCAGTGGGTGCGTCTGCACGTGATGCTACGTAGCCGTAGCAACGTGCTCCCTCATTATAGCGTGTTGCTATGGCAATGTAGTAGCTAAAAATAGCCACGTGCTGCATGCATGGTGCAGTATGGGTTGTTACCGCACCGTCATTTTGTACTTCCAAAAGGAAGTACTATATGACGGCGCAGTAACAAAGGCATCATAGGGACATGTGTAGAACACGGTAGTCCCCAAAACAAGAGTTGGTTTCACCCCTGCGACCAACTCTGTGACATAGATACTGGTAACTTTGAGAATTTCAAATACCTGAACCATCTTGACATCATGGGGCCTTCTGATAATAGTGGCACCTGAGAACAATATTAAGTTTCTGCAGGTTCTTGTTTCCAGAACATTGCTGCATGTACTTACATTCAGACTGACCTACGGGCTTCTCCTGGCATAAATGTGAGGGGGAAACGCAGGGTGCAAGTCCCAGACAGAAAAAAAAAAAAGCCTTCAATCTTAGAAATAATAGTAATTTAGTGGCAGTGATGCAACAAGATTTTGTAAAATTTTCTTCCTCTCATATATTATTTCTGGGCTAAGAGTAAGATTAGAATCAGCTTCCTGTTTGATACATCCACACACAAGAGACTATGTCCTGATTTATGGAAGATAGACCTTGTTTCATTTCATTTGGTACTGTCACTGCAATATCAAATGTGTCTATACTTTTAAAAGAAAACCCCAAACTTCTTATTTCCACATTAGAAGACAACAAATTCTAATTGTCTTCTTTTTTCACTACATCTCCTCCTGGTCCCTCAGAATAACATTCCCTGGCTCTCATTTTACATCCTTTGGCTTACAAGTCCCTACATGAGTCACATATTTCTCTCTCCTCGAGCTCCTTCATTCCAGTGACTCAGGACACACTGGACTTTTATTGTGGCTCAGTGAACTCAGCTGACTGAGCAAACTCATCCACTGAAGAGGGGATTAATAGCAGCAATTTGTGACTTGCTGCACAGAAGCGGTGTTGGTTATGCCAACAGGAGACTGATCTGCTTTGATAGGTTGTGAGAGCTCAGTTAGAAGGCTAAATGGCATTCACTTCTTTTTTTTCCTTTTTCTTTTCCTTTTTTGAAGACTTTTTTATTTCCTAGCAGGACTTTTTTCCCTGTGGTTCATATAAAAATATTTCTGGATGCTACCGGGACCCTTAGAGCAATTTTCAATGGAAAAAAACTGATAATTATTAATTAATCATGTAGGAGCTAGGATTCCCAAGGGATATTGTAAGCACATGCAGCTTAGCATCAACTATGGGATATTTACCTTTCTTTTTCTGCCATATCTTGTTTCTCTTCTGCTCTGTAAGGAGAAATTACATTTGAAATCTACTGCATAAACATTTTAAAACAACTTTTTTTCTCCCCAGTCCTATAATACAGTACAGGAGTAGACTGTGACATCTCCATGGACTCTCTCTGTGAGGCCACTGGGGATCCACACAGATACAG